GGGGGGGGGGGGCATTCCCCCGAAATCATCGCAGCACCAAGCGGTGGGGTGGGAGGGGCGGTCTCCAGATTCTACTACGACTTTTCGCGTCGTCTCGAGGATTCGGGAGCAAACGACAAAAAGCGACTTGTGTTTTGGTACTTTCCCCCATCCAAACGTGTACTCCACCCATGTAGATAATTCCAGCAATGCCACCAGTTCTGCCAAATGCGAAGCTTTCGATTGGGTATATAGCGATGATATCCTCTGCATCTTTAGAATGATAGACTCGATATTTCAGCCTAGAACGGATACTGATACAATAGGAAAATACGAAAATACGACGGTTTCCGACGGGCTAGATGTATCACGATGAGTTTCAAAACTGGAACTCATGTTGCAACAATATAGCAAGGGTGTGTTCGGTAAGGTACGGGTACGTTCGGTAAGGTATTCAAAAAGTACCGAAGCGTACCGAGAAATTCGGTAAGGTATTGAAAAAGTACCGAAGTATACCGAGAATTTCGGTAAGGTATTGACATAATACCGAAGCATGTACCGGTACTCTCGGTATTTGTCGAGGGTATACCGAGATTTTCGTTAAGGTATTGAAAAATTACCGAAGTATACCGAGATTTTCGGTAAGGCATTGAAAAAGTACCGAAGTATACCGAGAATTTCGGTAAGGTATTGAAAAAGTACCGAAGTATGCCGAGATTTTCGGTAAGGTATTGAAAAAGTACCGAAGTATACCGAGACGATCTGTATGGTAAATACCGGCGGAATTTACCGCCGGTATGCTTCGGTAATACCTTACCGAACGCGCCCTTGCAAAATTCGGTAGGGGTACAGCAGTCTGCAACCAATTTTGTGTGGTGAGTGGCGAGTGGAAAGAGTGACGTCACAATGTGTCGGTGGGGGGATACCCCTACCGTGCGGAGGGCTGTACCGGTACCGTCACCTCGGTATTTTGTGAAGGGTTCACCGATACCCTCGGTATTTGTCGAAGGTATACCGAGATTTTCGGTAAGGTACTAAAGAATTACCGAGGTATACCGAGAATTTTGGTAAGGTATTGAAAAAGTACCGAAGTATACCGAGCATTTCGGTAAGGTATTGAAAAAGTACCGAAGTATATCGAGACGCTCGGTATGGTAAATACCGGCGGTATGCTTCGGTAGTACCTTACCGAACACACCCTTGCAATATAGGCTGGTTCTTCACACGAAGGACCCCGGATTTGAGAGGATTCTGGCCAAACTGAGCTTGTCCCTGCCGAGGCATGACTCTCGATGGCGTAAGGATTTTCACGATCGCATCTATCATTAGGGAATAAACACGATCGAAACGAACGCAACACATGTCAGGGGCAGGCTAACGAGCGAGTGAGAGAGGGTGGGGTCAGGGGCAAACAGAGAGCTTGAGATCAGCGTCTCATGTGCTACACGGACAAGACGACGCTTCTTTAAGAAGTGCCACGTAGAAGTACAACACAAACGTGGTACCACACATCGCGGGCGACACCCCATCGATACACACTGTACACTCGATCACACTGGCACCGTGAGCCCGTGTCGTTGAACCTCCCGATACATTTGCCGCGGGAACCGCTTACATCTCGATGAATTCAACTTTATCTCCAAAGTCTCACCCCCAAAACGATTGTGCGTGGGGTCCACGTCTTTAACTCGCTTGAGCGGGGGCGGTTCCCAGATGAACAAGCCTGTCGGGTGGCTATCGCCCCCGGTCCAGCGGGTCAAGCACTTGGACCCCACGCACAAGGGTCTCTTGGGAAAACGACTCTGGAAACAAAGTCGATTTCACCGAGAGGTAAGCAATTCCCTCGACATATGTATCGGAAGGTTCAACGCCACGCGTAAAATTCATGGACGAACAGGCTGTTGGTGCATGGGACCTGGTGTGATTTTGTGCGACAATTACTGAATCCCAAGTCATTGCACCAAGCTGTATCGACGAGTTAGAAACAAGGGCACCCCCCTCGAATCGCAGCGGGTAGACAAGCGAACACCCCGCCGACAATCCGCACTAAAACTACCTTACAATTTGTTTGCATATCGTGCATCGTTTTGTTATCTCTCTCGTTTTCTGACGTCTATCTGCGCTAGTCGCAGGACTCCTAAGAATGTCAGGAGTGGTTTCCCTCGTCGATGTGCTTCATTGGCCCGTCTGATTGTGGCGTGGCTGCACACAGGCTCGTTTCAAGGGCGAACTGGCGTTTCGTTGTGCATCGACGGCATCTCTCCTGTTGTATGTGCGAACGTCCAACACATCCCCTTCATCTCTGATGTGTAATTTGAACGTTGCACTATTCAGCTATTCAGTTCATTTTCAATGTGATCGGACATGATCGCAATTGGAGCTTTTTGGACCGATACGGATATCATAACGTACTTAGCGGAGACGGAACATTTTTTTTTAATGTGAAGATAACAACAACAACAGATACTCATTAATCAGTCTTTTTTCCAGGCAAGTGATCATTGTAAGCTGCAACATCCGAAGTATGGACGAGGGGGCAACCCACAACGACAAACACTCTGAGACGAGGGTAACATCGATCCCGCTAACCCAACTTTACCTGCACACCGTCGCCGTCAATGTCTCGTCCCCCGCCCGCCGCAGCAGCAGCACCAGTAGCAGCAGCATCGGCTTCCGCCTCGACCTGCTGATGTTTCCAAGCAGTCGCCGCCACCGCCGCTGCCGCCATGGGCGACCTCGACTTGCTGCTGAGGCGCTGCTGCTGCCGCTGCTGCTGCTGCTGCCGTGAAGCCCTCGTCGGCGACGTAGCCGGACTGAAACCGCTTATGCTGCCGCCGCCGCCGCTGCCGCCACCGCTGCCGCTCCCGAGAGGGGGCGGGCTCCTGTTCTGAACGTGGTGCTGGACCCTGTGGGATGGAATCCCCACGGCCGACCGCGCGACGGCGGCGGCGGCCGCCGCCGCCCCGACTCCCGAGCACCCTTCGGACGGCGGAGGCGATGAGCCCAGGCGACCGCTAGCAACACCCCCGCCGTCGCCGGCGCCCCCGTTGCCTGCCCCGCCGGCCACGACCCTCGCCCTCCTCCTGTTCTTCTCCCTACGGTCGAAAAAAGAATCGGAGGCGGCGATATCAACCGCCTTGCCCCCGATGACGGTCAGCCCGATGAACTCCGGCCGGTCGTCATTAGCCTCGTCGTCAGCTTCACTCGGAGCGGCGGCGGCGGCGGCGGCGGAGTTATCGCAGCGGCGTAAGCTTCTTCTGCGCCAGGAGCGGCTATCTCGCCGACGGACAGCCGGCCGGAGTCGGGGGCGGTCGTCGTCATCGTCATCGTCGTCGTCGCCATCGTCCTCAACGTCGTGAATCTCGGCCTAAATTCGCGTTTTTTGAACGTTTTGTTGTCAGACAGGGCGTTTTTTTTAGTTGTGTTGAATAACAGTCCCCATTAAAAGAAAGAGAGCCAAGCATAAAAACGGGGCACTTTGTCATGCACCGGTACAGTACCGGAGATTAAGCTCCTCGAAAGGGATGGACACAAAAGGAACAGCTTGCGAGAGCGCATCTTTTGACACGCACCCAAGTGCATTTTCTCGTTGTAGAATGACGTGGCTCCAGGCCTGAGAGGGTTCCGTTCGAGTGCGAAGCCATCTAAGCATCGACCGGGGTAAGCCTCTGGCTATAACTCGGGAAGTACCGAACTTTCCTTCCAAGGCCGCGCTAGAGCGCCGGTGCTCCGCTTACTCTTTCCGCTATGGATACGTGCATAGGCACTTAACAACTCGGAAATGTTGGGGAACTCGAACTTGCAGTATTGTAGGAACATTGTAGGACCAAAGGAATGCGCTTTGACATCGATCCAGTACAGCATCGCCGTGTGTGGCTGGCCTAAAGCCCCCTGGACATCGTACTGGCAGTGCTGGTACCACTGCTGTTGTGTGTACAGGCAGCGTGATGCTCGACAACGTACTTGGAAGGGGTTCCAAGAGACCCGAAAAGAATAGTCGAAAACTTGAAGCGGTATGTAGCAGTGACCTTCAGATGTACTCCCCAAACCTGAAAACCTGAACAACACAACAAAACAATAAAAATAAACACCCCATACATAGTCTTCTTACAATTTAAGTTTTCTCTGAGAACGCTTCATTTCGCTTCTTTCGGCTTCTGTTAGCGCTCTATTCCGGTCTTCTCGGGCTCTCACAGAGCAGCATTTCCTCTGGAAATTTGGCACTTTGGTGGACTTTCCACTTTTATCTTCCGCTTTTATCTCTCTCGCCTGCTGCTGTCACCCCGCTCTGTACCATCATACCACGCATTCCACTCGAAGTACGGCCCTCTCTGTGTGTGCCTCCTTCTCCTCCGTTCCTCCGCCTCTCTATGTCTCTGACGGTATGTCTATCCACATTCTCTTTTCATTTTCGCCTTCTCTGTTGACCGCTCTCGCGTCGGAATGGTCTGTTGTTTGTTCCGATTCCGTGTGCTACTGCTGTACATTTTTTTTTTTCTTCTAACACCTTCACACGGTATGCACTCACCTCCTATCACCTTGGTACTGTATTCTCTCTCTCTCTCTCCTCTCGGTGCGTGTGTGTGTCTGTGTATCCACGTTGTCTTTAAATTTTTGCTTTTCTCTCTTTACCGCTCTCGCGTCGGAATGGTCTGTTGTTTGTTCCGATTCCGGCAACGGTGTTGTGTGCTCCGGTTCCGATAATCCCTTCTAAAGGCCCGGAAAATACGAAAATACACTCCTTTCTACCTCCACTCTCGATGGCTACCCCGGCCCACTCCTCCCACTCCTCTGTAGCTACTCCGGCTACTTTTCGCACTCCTTCGGTTACTTCCATCTCCTTAAATCACACACGAACCTCCATCATGGGAACTCCACCTTCACGGAAACTTTAACTGCCATCGGTACCTGTCTTCATTTTAACAATATCCTACACCCACTTTCAGAGAAAACGTTGCCTTGGAATCGCTTCAAATCAAGCGGGGGCGCGCAGCGCCCAAAATCTTGTTTATGTATATTTTATATTTTGCAGTGACTGGGAGAGAAGACCTGCGACGTATGTTTTACGAGCAGCATTAGTTGGTTTCGAAGCCAAGCAAGTGGGCAGGGAGGCCGTGTTTTGTTGTATCGCGTCCTACAAAACACAAAAACCATCCATGCATGAAACGTGTACCATAAACATGGTAACGGTAGATACCCCGTTTCAGCAGTCGGGGGACCATCGCATCGTCCCAACCAGTACCAACAGCGACGAGCAGTGCTCACGCTCACCTCCTCTGCTTGCTGTATGAGGCTATCGTCCGCAAGTGGAAGTTTCTCTTTCTCCGGGCGCTGCCCTCCTGCCTCGACCAACATCGCCCTACAACATGTTTTGTCGCCGTCGCATACACACGCACACGGCACAGAAGATTTTCGCGTGAAGACATGAGAGCGGAAGCACACGCCAGGGTTTACGTGCGGATCATAGGAGACCGAGAATGAGGGAGAGAAAGTGAGGGAAAGGGAGAGAGAGGGACAAAAACAAATAGAGGGAGAGAGAGTGAGAGACAGAGACAGAGGGAGACAGAGAGAGAGAGGAGGAGGAAGATACAGCTGTTGTACAATGGCGAGGCAGGCGATAGAGAAAGTTCGGCTGCACGCTGATCGCGTCAAGGCTGCCGTTTAAGACTACCGCCGCATACAGGAAGGACTTGAGTCCTGGAGAAGCTGTCGACCACCGCAGCAGCGGCCATGCGCAGCAGCGGGCCATGAATAAGCAGGGAAGCAATCATCAGGGGAGCCGCCATGTCTAGACGCAGTGGCACAAGGCAGCTTCATCGGACGACGTTTTTCTTTCTTCGTTTCAACAGTAGTAGCACATGTGGTCCTGGGGGTGCGATATCTTGTGTCGCCTACGGATATGTATCCGTTGGGACTTCTTATGAAGAACAGGCCGCTGAAGAAATTTGATCACATTATCGTATGGCCCTGGTCTCGGCCTCAGCACCTTTCTAACATCCGTACTAGTCCAACTGACGTGGACATCTTGCCCACTTGTGTATCTACTCGAAGTAGACTACTGTATTGTGAACATGGAGCGTTGTTGTTGTTGTTGTTGTCGGTGTGTCTTCAAAAAAGGAAGTAATATGGTTCCGATTCTGCGTACTCCGGTATTGGTCCAGCTCGAGCGGATAGCATTTTGGTTAACGTGGTACAGCGCGGTGGATTCTTCTTGCTCTAGAGTAAATGTACTGAAGAAAGCATGGAAAGGATCTCTGCTGCTGCCCTCGACTCCAAATGTGCTGCTGTACTGCTGTAGTCTAGACGATCCTACGCATCGCAGTTCCACAGGTGCTCAAACGCAATATATAGCAACATGACACCACCCAAATAAATCGAAGTAGGTTGCATTGTTGCGATGCTCACCGCCGTGTCGTATGGCCCACCACCACCACCACCTCCTCCTCCTCCTCCTCTTCATCGGACAACCAGCGATGCATCTCCTGCTCGGTTGGCCCTCCACACGCTCCCGCTTCCTTGCCGCAACAACCATCGCCCCCGCCCGTCGCCGCCGCCGCCGCTGGCGCCCCCGCCCGCGTCATCCCGTCATGACCAACCTCCACTGGTGTTGCACTAATACTGATGCTGCTGTTCAAGCCCACAAGATATTGGCGTTCGTCCGATCCCTCTTGCCGAGGGAGAGCGGCAGCGACAGCAGTAGCGCTAGCGCGATCCCTGGCGGGGCGATCCGGCGGAATTGGGGGAACCTTGTCGGCAAGGAGATTGGCGAATTCGTCGCGCCCAATAGATGTTGATGCTTGGCGCGTCAGCTTCGACTGACTGCACTGGGAATCCTTACTCCCGTTGCCAAGACCAACACTCGTCGTCGCACCGTTCAACCCCGCCGATCCTGTGGTTGCTGTCGCTGCTGCTGCTGCTGCTGCTGCTGCTGCTGCAGCGGCGGCGGCTGCTGCTGCCGTGCTCTTGGCGGGTACGCGCCGTTTTGTTGTCGAGCGGTCATGGATGCGACGTTGCTGTTGCAGGACAGCTGTGCTAGAAGCTTTCGCGTCAGGCGCCTCGTCCGAAGACCCGCCTGAATCGTCGTTCAGCCAAGCTAGCACCGACGCCGGGATGTCCGAGCTCGCCCCTACCCCCGCTGCCGGCCGCGTTGTCCTTGCCACCGCTGCTGCTGCTCCGCCCGCTGCGCCGTTAGGCGGTGATCCTTCACTGGAGTACACCATGGAATCTACAGATGCTCGAGATGTGCCCTTCATGGTGTTTGCTGCGTGGTGGCCAATTTATCTTTGCCCCCCGTTCCCCTCCCAGTGTATATCGAAGCAAGAGATGGCCCTCGGGTGCCGGCAGCTGCATATAGAGAGAGCTCGCGATATCACAACTAGCACAGCTTCTCTGTGGTTGTATCTGAGAGCTGGTGTCTAGACGGAAAAAAAGGTAACCGCCACGAGATGAAGTTGACAACAGTCGACAACCGGATGGTTGGGTTTGACCTCCTGGATTTGCTAAGTCCCTCACAGCAAAACCAAATTTCGCCTACCACACACACTCGAGGAACTCTCTCGTGCCTCCGTCGCGTCTACCTCCACGCCTCCACGAGAGGTCACACCCATGGGACACGTATTGGAGCGCGCGCAGAGCTCATCTACGATTTGTTCTATAAATAGACACGCCAATGGAAACCCCCTCGAGTAGTTTTTTTTATTTTTTGCGAATCTTCCTTGACCACAGAGAGAGAGACAGGCCTCTTTGTGCTCGCAAGCTGCGACGTTTCTCGGAGTTGGTACACACGCACACACGCTTTGTGGGACCTTCGCGGCGGCTACACATGGGCTCAAGAGGCACATTCAGCAGCTAGTAGCCTGTCACTTCTACTAGATAGCCCTCTCTCCCCGTCTCTGTCGCCTACGGCTGTGGCTCGCTGTGTGGTCCGAAGCGTTGTTTTCGACACCCCCGCTGCTTGTTGTCGAGCATCGGCAAGTAATCATTATGCTGGACGACGGTGCACATTGCGAGGATGACCGCCTTAGGAGGGCCCTCCGCAGCAGTGGCCTCGGTCACCACGCTCCCGTCGCCTCCTCCACTACGATGAAGACCGCTACAGCCGATGTTCCTCGCGCGCGGAGCGGCAGCGGGGCGGCGGAAGGCGGCGCGGCCGCGGAGGACTCAATAGTCCTGGGTGCGGGAGAAGGAGGAGGAACCTACCATTGGCTAACCAAAGGTGGACTGAACTCCGGCGTGGGTAGGCCCACCCGGCATCACCGCGTGCCCGTGGGGCGCGAACGCAGGCCGTTGCAACGTTCTTCCGCGCTCGCCGGCAGAAGCGGCGCGCCTCCTCCGACCGGCCAGCAACCAACCGAGCCCCCTGCCCAGCAGAGCGCGGGTGACAGCAGTACGCCCTCTGCTGCAGACCTGAGCCCAGGCTATTCCTTCCCAAGAAGCAGTTCAGCGGATAGTATGCTCGCGACGACCTCGTCGTTGGCGACGGGCCCATCGGCATCGTACACGTCGGCGGTGGCCATGTCGCCGGCCACGAGGAAGCGCGGCGGCGGGAAGTCGTCGCGCGGCGGTCTCGGCATTCGGAGGGGGGGAAGCAGCGGCGGCGGCGGCAGCAGCGGGGCAGGCTGTGAGGACGAGGAGGACGAGGAGGACGAGGAGGAGGATAGGAGAATATCTTTCCGCGACGCTACCCTGGTTGCTTGGTTGAATTCGGTTCTGTTTGCACATGACGACGAGGGAAGCAGCACTACCAGCAGGTGAGTTTTCGGACCTTCTGCTGTTGTTGCATGCCTGCACGCACAACCGGGTACCGTGGGGTTTTGCTTGCTTGAGAGGACCTCGCCCAGGAGGCAGTGGCATTCGAGGTATTGACTACTGTATGCATATGCATGATGACAAGATGTTGTTGTCGATACTACAACCCTCCCCTGTGGTGAGGAAGTGCGCACCATGCGCAAGACACAGATCTTTGGAACATTTCATTTCTGCCCACATAAAACCGAGTACCAGTATTTTCAATACACCAACGGATTTCATCTCCTCTCCCCAAGATATAGAGTCTGGGACGGTTAGCAAGACCGAAGCTGTACTTCCATCTTTCCCGGAGCAGCGTGCAGCGATACCGTTGCCGTGGGTAGCTAGGCTGAAACAAGACTGTAGTTGCAGTTTGGTGCCCACATCTTGTAAGCATCTGACTACGTACCTCATATGTGAGATGCTGGTGGTTAGGAAGATGTTAGTTTGAATATTTCGGCCGCAAGTAAACTGGCCGAGAAGGCGAGAAGTGGTGCATCTCCAAGCAAAGACCGACGCGACGCAAGAGGTTGCCGAACTCGTTATCAGAGTATCGGCGGAGGAAAGAGAAAGCCGGGAAGTACAGCAGACGTCCAAGGCGCCAACACCCCTACAAACACGCACACCGCACGCCCGTTTACGCCTGTGTACTTGTAGGCAGGTAATTGAAAACTACAAAAGGTCACGGCCGACAGTTTTTTGCGCATGTTCAATGCTCTGGTGGCACGGGTAATTTTGTGACCCTTTTTCCTGTAGTTTTGTAATTTTGCAGCTGGAGAGCGGAAGGACAAGCTGGTGTTTGTGTTGCACCTGTATTTTGGACGTCTGGTACGCATACGTATGAAGTAGGTTGCATGCATATGCGTGATCGAGTTGTCTGTGAAAACTGCGTGTGATCGTAATTTTAGTTTTTTAAACACAGACACGGGTGGTCTGGCATGCGGAGAAGAAAACAAGCGCCCTATTGTACCCCATAAATACATCCAACACGAAGGTTACTCGAAATATGTCCAGATGTCCAGTACCCAGCCGGTTTTCCTCCACTCACTGCTGTAAAGACTCCACCACATCCCGTTCAACTGTGGGTATATCTCGAACGGGTATTCTTTCTGCGGTTGTGTTTATTTTTTTCCTTTTTTTAGAAGGGAACGTACGCACTTGTAAGGGGTTGTAATCCTCGTGATGAGAAATCGTCCTGATGATAGCTGCCTGTGCGTATGTATGTATGCGGACCCATGAATGGATGCATGCAATGGAGGCCGTGTATCATGACGTACAACTGCATCGCCCTGAAGCAAATGCGACGACAAAACAAATCTACTTCTTGGTTTGTGTTTTTTTGTGGGTCTCTTGACCTGGTGTACGAATTTGTATCCCACCAACTTTACGTAAAATTGTACAGCAGTACCGGCAACGAGTATCGTACCTAGTTTACGAAGTCATCGGCGTGCCCATAAAAGTATGTAGATCGCTGCACTTGCCGTTCGCTCCTATTGTATGCTTGAAGATATCGCGGAACAAGAGTGCGTCACACCCTTGCGACATCATCAATATTTTTACCGCAAGAAACATTTTATGCCAGAACCCACACGGTAATAATTTTGCCTGTAGGTGACGAAGAGAGACCTCTGGTTCTGTTGGCCGGGTGTTAAAAGGAAGTGAGCGGACGGAGACCGGAACCGTGTTTCAACAACGTGCATAGACCTCCACGTGTTTTTTTTTTGTTCTTCTTCTCCCGGACGAAGTGTGGCTTTCGTTTTTGCCGTGTACGCTAGCCCGCCACCACGCCGTCCTGTCTCTTTTGGATCGAAAAACCCGTACCCGCGCGAACCCCATCCCGCCTTGTCTTTTCGCTCGTTTGTCCGGTAACTTTATCGACGAAAACGCTCGTCGTCTTCGTCCCTCTACGTCGCGCCCCATCCCGCCTTGTCTTTTCTTGCGGTCTCCGCTCGTTTGTCCGGTATATTTATCGACGAAAACGCTCCTCGTCTTCGTCCCGTTACGTCGCGCCCTTGACAACGGCGAGGACAGCCGCCGCGCTTCTCCTTCGGGGTCGCCCAACGCTCGCCAGCAGCAGCAGCACCTGCAGCAGCAACGTCCGCCGGGCCACAAGCGCCTGCGCTCCCTGTCCGAGCTGAAGCAGCACCAGCTGCTGGCCCTCTCCGTGCGGAAGATCTCGGGCGCCGACAAAGACTGCGATGCCGCCGCCGCCGCCGCCGCTTTAAGCAAGGGCGGCGGCGCCGCTGCCTCTCCGAAGTCGGCGAGTTCGGGCAGCGGTGAGCTCTTCCCCACGGAGATGTCGATCTCGACGGGGTCGAGCAGCGACTTCGAGGACAGTAGCGGCTTCGGCAGCGGCGACGCGGAGGCGGGGGTGGGGGGCGGCGGCGGCGGCGGCGGGAGCAGAGCTCGGGGGAGCCATCCCGGGCAGGGCTTGCGGACGAGGGGGAAGTGGAAAAGATCGGATGGCGCCGCGGGTGGCAGGGTCGTCACGAAGAATAGACCTCTCCGGAACATGATACGGCTGCTGCCGACCGGTCGCAAGTCGGGCACTTCGAGGGCGGGGTGAGAGGAGAAGTTTTGAAGCACGCGCGCGCTGGGGGTGGGCCGGGCGTACTCATGTTTGCATGTCTTGGTTGTTAGACAATTCACCACGCGTCCTCGAGAAGACGGAGCGTTGTTCCCACGGGACCGATCGCCAAATGGTTAAATCGTTCCTTCCTATCCTTTTAATCCTGTCGATATCGCTTGTCATGCCCCAGTAGAGCTATATAAAACCGGGGACTGCCGGGAGATATTTTTGTCGAGTAGAGGCAGGAGGCAGTGGGGCAGTCCGGCGCATTGCAAAGCATCGAACACGTCAAGAATCACGGGTGTCGGCAGCGGTGCTCCCTGAATGTTCTTGCGTCTTACGCTGTCCCCACCCCCACCCCCTCTGCGCCATTCCTGATTCGCCGTTACACGTTTAGCGCGGCGAGGCGCATCAAGCAAGACGTCGCTCTGCTGCTGTCTGGACGCTGCGCCATGGACGGGGCTACCCCAAAGATCCCGGGGCACATGGCGGCAGAGGTGAGCGAAGCTGTATGTCGCTCTTGTTTTCGGTAGCGATGTCCGAGACCCTCGGCTGTTTCTCTGCGGGTCCCCGGGTAACCGAATGGCCGCTGCTTCTTCACTCTCTTGCGCCTGTCTACAGCTCGGCGAACGTTTTTTTTTCTCCTGCAAGTATCAGGCTGTTCCCTGACTGTTCAAGCTTGCGAGGAAGAAGTTCGTGTCCTTCCGGTTGTTGTTTGCCGCGTCAGTTGGGGGAACGCCGCACAGAAAAACACCTCTTCTGATCGTTTTACCTACACACCCCGCCCTCCCCCCTCTCCGGTTGTTTAATGACTTAAATCGCTGGACCGTTCGTGCCTGTCTGGTGTCGCTCTCTCTCTCCCCCTTTGCCTCTGTCTCGCCCTCCCGCATTATTTTGTCCGCCCGCCCGCTCCCTTCCCCCCCCCCCC